CGGGGAACCACCTGTGGTTTGAACGTATCCCTTCCAAATCGAATCCGGCTGATGCACCATCTAGGTCGGTGTTTGACCATCTGCCCAAAGCCTTCAGGCAGCGTTTTGATGCAGCTGCCCATCTCTTGGAGAAGGCGAAAGACGTTTGAATGGGGGGAGTTCGTCTTCCCCCTTCTTCACTTGCAGGAGTTTTTTACGTGCAGGATAACTTGCGGGAGCCCTTTGAGTTTTCTTGACCAGCACCTGCTGGATGTGTGTATGCCCAAACCGACAGTGTGTTCCCCATGCTTCACAGAAAAAAAAGGAAGGTCCCCTTGCTTGAGTTGAGTGACTAAATGTAATAATATGTGATTGGACGAGTGTATATTGTGATGGAAATGAATAATGCATTTATATCACATGTACTAAGTACAAGGAATGCGATGCTTGATGATACTCAACACAGCTGTGCCGGACGGCCGCTCGAACACAACCAGAAGACAATCAAGCACCAGGAGCATTCGCAAAAGATGTTGCGCGGTTGCCTGCCTCTTCGCTCGGCCTCTGCGCGGCCAACACGCTTGATCTCTTCGGCATGGAACCAGGGTCGGTAGGTTCTGGTTTATTTGTCCTGTCGCCCTGTTCAACTTGATGAATTTTGAACGCGGCGAAATGATGCAAGATTCAGCAATGCTGGTGACGCATGCAAGCCATTCATTTCGATTTTTTGCATCTCCTTTCCCCTCAAGATGATGTTTCATTTTTCCAGGGTTAAAACAAAAAGCGGGTTGTGACTGTCTTCTGTGAGCACTGAAATCCTTGCAGTTTCCACAAGCCCTTGTAGCTTTCAGAAAGCCATGAAACCGCAGTCTCTACAGGGCCCTGCAAAGCCTAGATGCCCTTTAATCACTGCACATCCCTGAAGCCCCAGCAGTCCTTTCTGCTCCCTGAAATCCTTGCAGTTTTCAAAAGAATCCTCACAGTTGCAGTTCTTAGAACAACGGGTCGGGTTCGGTTCTTAATTGAGCGGTGGCTCATTACGACGTCCCGAGCGTGGGATTTCGCAAGTGCCGCGGTCAATGTATCAGTTGCAATCGTTCACAATGTGGACATGTCAACAAAAGGTAACTGGTGTTCTAACAACCCGTAGTTTTTTTGTGAGGTGACAACGCGTTTTCGTGTAGGTTTTTCGGTACGTGGCTGCTGGAGGCCTACAATGTGGCACGCGCAAAAACCACAGAAAGACACTTTTTTTGAAGGCGCGGAAACACGAAATGGGTTGGCTATTGCACAAAGGATATGGCATGCTGTGACGCCTCCGAAAAACATGTAAAGAAACACGTTTTTTTTTGGGTGATCCTTCTCGAAACGCATATTCTTGCGTCAGGCTACCTGCCTCCAGCCCCAACTCGGCGTTTCGAACCCATTGCATACTACCCGACTGGACGCAGTGTTTTCTCAACTTCTTGATATGCGTCATGGCATGCCACCTCGCTTTTGCTGTAGTCCTTGCAGCATTTCGTGCATCTGGACGTATGGTGACCAGAGCATCCATGCCCGAAGCATAATAACTTCGTGTTCCAAAAGCATACGCTGACCAGAGCATCCATGGTCCATGCCCAAACCATAACAACGCTCCTTTATTCATACGGACCCAGCAAGGACCACTGGTTTTGCGAGATTACTTTCCCGTGAGGAAGAATTCATTAGTCAACGTTGCGTCTAAGGTTGTATATTACGGCAACGACGATTCGCCTTTTTTAAATCACATGTAGAGGGCAGTTCAAGCAAGGTCGGATACAGATAACGTGGAGATGTTGAGGGTGAGAGGGGACGGTTTTTTATCAAACAAATGTGAAACAATGCATGGTGATTTTCTGCAGGCGTCGGAAAATCGTGCTGACCGTGATGCAGCCGTTCCTGTCGTTTTTGAGTTCAAGTGAACCAGTGTTTCTGCGACATGCAAGCTGGAGAACATGCAAGCTGGAGAAACATATTTTCAGCGTTCCCACTCCGTCACAGCATTGCAGGCATCAACAAAATTTTCTCCTGGAATTGTGAGTTTGGTAAACGGAGCATGTACAATAAAATGTTGCTGGTGCGCATGGCGGCAACATCTTGGTAAAGTTTCCTTCGTTGCATGGGTATTTGTGTCGTGCTATGGCCATGGCTTCGCACTCCGCCAAAGCACAGCGGGTGCTTGTCCTGAGCCGACATGTGCTCCAACAATCTGCCGATGCCCGGCTGAATATGGTCACTGTCGCAGAGTCATCTTCTGATCTGCAACGTGTTCGTCGTCAAGGGCATTCTGTCCCCGATGCATTGAAGCAGGGCGGTAGCTCAGCCGTGGTGTATTTTGAGAATCACGCTAAGAGGTTATCCCATGCAGAGAAGGTGCGGACGATGTTGCATACCATCAACAGTGGAACTCTGTCGACGATTCATCACGAATCTGGTTGGCCATATGGAAGCATTGTCAACTTTGCTGTAGAGCAGCGCCCAATCTCTGATGGAGGAGCCCGCATTGTGACCTTTGTTTCAAGGTTGGCAGAACATACTGCAAATTTATTGAGAAAACCCGAGGCCTGCATTTTAATAGCGGAAGTGCAAGGCAAAGGCGACCGTCTGGCAGTGGCACGGGCAGCGCTCTTGGTGGAAGCTTTGCAAGTTGACAAGACGGATCTGGCCAAGACATCATTTTTGTTGGCCCATCCCAATGCATCTTATGTCCATTTTGATGACTTCCTTTGTTTCGAATTGGCTGTGAAATCGATCCGCTATATAGGCGGATTTGGCGAGATGTCATGGGTCGCTGGCAAGGACTTTGCATCATCAGAATTTGACCCTGTTGCCGCCGATGTCGATGCTGCTAAAGCGGCAGTAGACCACTGTAACGAAGATCATGCTGATGCGGTCTTGGACATGGCAAGAGCTTTTGCTGGACTTCCTTTGGCTGGCAAAGCCACGATGTTGTCAGTGGATCGATATGGATTCGATGTGTTGTGTCAGATGCCGGATGGGTTGAGGCCAAATCTTCTTCACAACTTTGCTAGGTATGTAAGGGATCTGAACGAGAACGAGTGCATGATTCGAGAAGTGAGTCATGCTTCATTTTGTGTATGGAGGCGCAGTCGCGTTGAATTTCCACAGCGCCTGGACAAGTCGGCGGACCTTAGAGAGGCCTGATAGAAATGAGGCGCCGTGCTTTTATTTGGCTTTGTAATGCCCAGGCAATGATGAACACAACTCAGATGGCGCGGGACCGCACTCTAGCTGTATGTTCTGGTTGCAACTTGTTCAGCAAACTTGCTTGCATGCCAAGAACGTCCAGGAGAAGTTGTCGCAAAACAAGTGAGCCCAGATGGGCTAGACGCCAGGCAAAGTTTTTGTCTCCCCATGTTGCAGACCATTTTCAGCCAATGTTTGGCTCTCGCCGCCCTGTTTGCAAAAGAAAACGTGTTGCTGTAGCCTTGCACGAGTCCAGACACATGAGTCGCCAGCCGAAAGTGGCTTGACAGATCTGGCTGCAGACATGCGCGCCTGGTCCCGCAGATACAGTCTGGAGACCCCGCAGAAAGCACCTTCGCACAGAAGGCTCTCGGAATGTGCTGTCGACCTTCTCTCAGCATCGTTTCCAGTTGAGCCCAACATTTGCCAGAGCAAGCCTGATTCACCATCTGCTGACTATTTTGCAGGCATCTTGTAGGGGCCAGTTGGCGAGTGTGGATTGGAAGAGCCAAGTGGGTATCTGCATGTGCCAGATGCGGGACAAGTGGTGCCAAGTATCCTTCCACCACAGCATCCGTGCTAGTTGAGGCGCAGCTCCAGAGCATCTGGCATTTCTTTCACTGACTTCATGCCCGTCTTTTGACACAGCATTTCGTCAAGCAAGCCGGTAGCCTACCCTGTGCAAAAGTTCCATCACTCCGGCTCTGAAGACTAACGGTGTGTTTTGTGACCTTCCTGCTACGCGGTGGAAAAACGTCATTCCTACCTCTCAGCTCATGCAACGATGCGGGTTTTAGAATCTGTTTTGAAAGTAACCCTGGTGTCATGGCGTGGACTGATTGGCCCCGGCACATGCCTGCGGATGCCGCTTCCCTGTTGAGCTGTGTGAATTTCGATCACGTGCTGGCTCTGCATTTCACCCGCCTAAAAAGGTCTTGGCCCCGGGAGTCACGTGCTCAGGAAGTGGCGGAAGCTTCAAGTTTGCGCATGGAGACCTGCATTGTTGGAAGGCTTTGCACTTCTACGATGCTGTGACTGCCTTTCGAGTGGGAGCCGCTGCCTCGTAGCTCTTGTTGATTATTGCGGAGCATTCTAGAATTAGAAAGTCACGAAAGCGCTGCATACAGAAAACTTGCAAACAGAATTGTTAAATGCATCTTCATCAAGCCGCATACCTTTCTTAAAAGGCAAGTGACCGCCAGTTGCGAAACACGCTGAAGCAGCAGCTGACAGGCCGGGGTCTCACTGTTTGGACATTAAGAAATACAGGTGGTTTGAGTTGCTTTGAGTTGGGTGCCGAAGCAGGCCTAAGCTTATTGGAGCCTGTTGAGCCTTTAGTGGAACATCGGACTTCAAGAGCATGGGGAAGTAAATGGAAGATCCCGAGCATAGGGAGTGACGTGACTGCAACTGGTTTTGCTGGCCTAGACCGGAAAGTGTTCTGGCAGCGATAAAGTAGGAGGGCTTGGAATGGAGTTGCATCATCAATCTCTCGCTGCGAAAGGCATCAAAATCGCCTTGCGACGCAAGCGTTTGCAGCCCGTCTGCTCCTGCTCGCTTACTCCTTCACTGGCCTACCTGTTTTGCCCCCAAGAGCTCTGCAGCAAGACCAGAAAAAACAGGAAGTGACAGCTGCCTTGGCCCAATCTTTGGGAACCCTGGAGTGCTTGAAAGAACTGAAGGCCAGGGCGGGCAGAATGGTGTCTTCGAGTCCTTTTGAAGGCGGCAGGCGTTGCACATGCAGGCGGACATCAGTTTCAGCTCCATCGGTGAAGATGGCGCGCGACAGTTGGCACAGGCTTTGCTGTTTTGGCTTCTTTCTTATCTACCTATGGGCTCTAAAGCAGATAAGAGCAACCTTGATACAAGTATGTCTGCTACATACAAAGACGTGATTCGAGCACTTGGTTTTGTGCGCTGCCTTCGCATTGCTTTTCCCACTGCCCCCGGTGCACGCTAAGACAGTTGGAAGACAACTGTCGTGGGAGGCAGTGGGCTCTCTTCAACGATTACGTAGCCTGGAGCTCCTTTTGGGAGGTGCTGTGCTGTGCGCTTCTTTTTGATATAGCTGGCTTAGCGCACCATTGTGAACTGCATGATGCGTATGGACTGCCCCCGCATTAGTAGTGACCTCTCCTGGATGTGTTGTGATCTCATTTCATGTCACTCCAGGTGCTGGACTTGGGTATGCTGGATGTGAAAAGCTTTCGGAGGACTTGGCTGTGTTTGACAGACTGCAAGTCATCCCGGCCATAGTCATACCCGGATTTTGCTCCAGGAAATCGGCACGCTGCGGGGCCTGGAAAGACTGTGACTAGGTTGCAGTTGCGGGCAAACTGCTTACATAGCATCAGACCAGGTAATGCTCAATATATAACGTGTCTGCTTTAACACATCATGTTATTGAAAAACCTGATGGTGCTTCGTCTTAGCACGTGGATTGAACCTAGGAATGTGGAAGATGATGCCCACAGTGGCTCACGATTGAAAGCTAGGGGACTAGACGGTGGCCTTTGAACACGCATTTTTCAATTTTTCTGCCTTTCCTGAAGTTTCTAGATTTCCAAATGGAAAGTGCTTAAGCATCTTGGGACGTCTCTTGGTATCTCTCCATGAAATGAGGTTGCGCCTTGACGCAAGCTTGGATGGATGCTATCTCAGGAAGTTGGATTTGAGCCTGAACGACATCGGCGACACAGGGTCAAGCCCGCTCGCTTGCACAGCGCACACGTAGCGTAGAAACTGGACAGGGCATTGCGCGTTGTCGCTGGGTGGCATGCTGGCAAACGGCACCTTTGCAGGGCATTAACAATATCAATGATAATAGTATCAATAATAGTAATAATCATAAGTATAATACTGCGGTGAAATACTTTCCGCCGCTGCTTTAGCCCGCCAGGCTGCGAGAGGTGTCAAAGTGTGTCCGCTCTCTCCACCAGCTGCGAGCTTTGGTTGAAGCCTTACGATATAGTATATTCGGGTTATACAGGGATAATGGAAAAGAGCATGGGAACAACTATAGTATATTGGGGCTATACTGGGATGATGAAAATGGAAACTACTATAGGAAATTCAGGCGATTTGGATCAGGGACAATGCATGCTTCTCACCAGGGCTATACACTCCCGGAAACTAACATGGAAACCCAAAAAGGGCCCTATAAGACTACAGTCCTTCTAAAAGGGGGCTATATATGTTTCCATGTTAGTTTGGGGGAGTGTAAGAAGAACGTACGCTGAGTCCCTTAACCCAATGGTGAGAAGTGCTTGGAGCTTACATGCTCAATGAGGTTATACAGGGGGTTTAGGGTTCAGGGTTTAGGGTTTAGGGGATTATATAGGCGACTATTACAGGGGTTATTCAGGGTGCCAGGGGTTCTATAGGGGATTATGTAGGCGACTACAGGGGTTATTCAGGGTGCTACTAGGAGTGTAGATTATAGCTCACATAGATGTCTCCACTTGCAAAGGCAGGAAGACCAGCGGCTGAAACCTCATGCAGACAATTGTTTTCTGTACATTTCCCATACCACTCCCCGGACACTCACTTTCCCTGTATAACCCTATAAAACCCTATATACCCCTATATAAACCCTAAACCCCTAAACACTAAACCCAAAACCCCATAGTCCGCAAGCAGAACAAGTGATTTGCAGATTCCTGGAAGTCCCCTTGATTCAAGTTCTTCTTTTGAGTGCCCTCTCACCCGCACTGAGGTCCTAGACTTGAACCGCAACCGAGTGGCAGATCCAGGAGCTTCTGAGTCCCAATGTTTCAGCTGTTTGGGAATAATGAAACTACTCTAGTATATTGGGGGTATATATAGGGGATAATGGAAAAGAGCACGGAAACCTACTATTACTATTTAGGGTTGGGGCAGTGCCGGACGCAGGAATCGGATGCTTGGCCCAAGTGGTGCTGGAGTTGCCCACGCTGACAGACTTTGAAGTCATGCTCTTTGACAACAGAGTGGGGGAGGCACCACTTTAGTTGTGATAGATTTTAGGGAGCAGGGGAGCGGTTGGATCACTTGACCCTTGTGATAATTCCGGGTTCCCCAGAATTCCAAATTCTGAAATCTGCCCCCAAGACTACTTTTGAAAGGGCAAAAACTAAAGTAAATTGCGGCTTGGATCCTCTGAAGTAGGACGGGTCCCTAGCATGACTCTTAGGGATTAGGACCTCCTTGATTTTCTAGATTTTGATTGCTCCTTGAATGGTCTTTATAAAGGATTTTGTATGAAATTTGATTGCGAGTTTCATTGGGTTCTTGCGTTCTTAGACCTTCTTTAGTTGATTCAGAATGATTTTTAACTATAGTGTTCTCAGATTTCAACTGATTGAAATCAAATTCTACTTAGATTTCGATGAGATTCTAATTACAGATTTAGTTGGATTCAATTGGTTCTAATCAGATTCTAAGATTAGATTTTAAGAAGATTTTGATTGGTTTGATTACGTGTTTAAATTGAATTCAAATATGTTTAGTCTAGATTTCAAGATATTTCAAGTAAATTTTGAATTGCTTTACTTTGATATCATTGATTTTGCCATAATTTTTTATTGCGAGTATAATTACATGAATAGGCCTTTGTTTGGCTTGATCAGTTCTTGTTCGGTTTTAACTAGATTTCATTATAATCCTACTGCACAGCCCCCCCCTATGTTCGGGTCGTATGATAAATACACCCCCCTAATATTACATACGGTCGGAGTATATGCATTAAGGGGTGAGGGGAGGAGAGCTTCCTTTTCGGGGGGAAAGGATTACTTTTAGCCTCGCATTAATAAGGCCCCCCCTCGATTGATCAATTTCCGTTCTCCGGCAGGCCCTGGAATAATACAGCCAAAATGTAGGTTTGAACATCTTTTAGAGTCAATGAAATCTATTTGAAATCGTTGCACCGAAAAAGTTCTATTTTTTTGTGACTTTATAAATGCGTGCCTTGTTGAACTTGTGTTCCGGCAGCAGGATTTTTAAAATGTGGGGCAAGTCCTTAGTGGGAAGTCGACGTTAGAGATGAGAGGCTCACCTCAAGAAAATGGCATGCAACAGCTCAACGTAGAA